GGGTTAGTTTGTGACTCAGCTAATGTATAAAGATATTTATTCTCCGGTTAGTTTGTGACTCAGCTAATGTATAAAGATATTTATTCTCGGGTAAGTTTGTGACTCGGCTAATGTATACAGATATTTATTTTCGGGTTAGTTTGTGACCTAACTAATGTATAGACATATCATTCTCACATAAAAACCTCGTATGATCAAAAGCTTGTGTTCTTGTAATGTTCATGCAAAACACCAATATCACAATACAATGCGATCGGAAAAATAACATCATATAATACATTGTCACTCAGCCCTACCATTTATGTGTTCAGGACATGTGTACCAGAACTTCTCCTGTATCACGTACAACTGGGACGAGTATCTGACCTGCTCCTGGGCTTTGTCACCACTGTACAACGAACCAGTCTACACAACATCGCTCACTTGGTCTGTATACATTCTTCTCCTCAACCCAGAAAATATATTGTCAATAATTCCAGAAATAGAATACGAGTTCCAGAAAAATCGGCATTGACTGAAAAAGATTCAATCAATCTCCTTATTGCAGCACTGATTTGTTTATTTGGAGCTCTCTTTTAAGATTTTAACATGTATTTTTCTCAGTAAACTAAACATGTATTGTAAAAACTCTGATCTGATCAAATTTCGACTGCAAATATGTGTATAGCAGGACAGGACTATTTTTATACAAAAGTAAACTATAACAGTAACTGTACACAGCACAGATATGTTGGCTATAACTATAATTATTACCCAATAGTCCATATAAATTATAAAAAGTCATTGTTGACTGTTTCTGGCTATTTGTCCAATTTCGGCTGTAGGGGTGAAACAGTTAACAGTTAAAGTATGGGTATGATGGATATAGCAAGTTTATGATCCCCCGAGGCCAGGACTATTTCCCGAGACGATCATAAACTTGCTATATCCCGAAATACCCATACTTCAACTGTTTTTATACCGATACAAACACTCCATCACAATATTCTAAATATTATTAGACAGCAAATTTTCAACAGTTGTGACTCTTTATTAACAAAACAAAACAAAATCTTGAGAATTTCCATGTCCGCGATATCCAAACCCTTTTCAGTGAGATAGCTAGAGAGCAATGTAACGGATGCCCGTACTGTTTTTTGTATGTTCCAACTGTCTTTTGCCTCCAATATATCCGACAATTCGCTCTCGTCCAACACAGAAAACCTGGGGGTCGCCATTTCTGTTGTCGTCTGTCAACAACAATGCGAGGTGAAGGTCGGTCCAGAAAGTACCGGCTTCGCTGGCCGGAAATTGCCGAAGTAATTCGATTGCGCTGATTGGTCAATATTCGGTCAGGCCCCGCCCACGACGTCACTCAATTTCCCGCATTTTCCGAGGGAAATAGTTTCAAAACTATCGCACCCCTCCAGACGAACTATTTTCCTGGCATGCAGTTAGATGGGAAATAGCTTGTTTACGTGGTGACTTTTGTATAGTGTAAAATAAGTAGAGGTATAATAATATACAGTTATAGAATGGGTATGAAGGAAATAGCACATTTATGGTCCCCCGAGGTGAAAAACTATTTCCCGAGCCGGCTAATATTAATATATTAATATAACTGTTTTATTATAACGAAAAAAATTATGAAAGGCAAATTAACAAATGAGTTTATTCATTTCCTTTTACAATTTCAAAGAGAAAAAATACAATTGGAAGTACTGTATGCTTCGTCGTTGATGATATCTTCATTTCTAGCTTTCAAGAAGTTTTTTTATAGACTGTATCTTATAGTCACTATTGTTTTCCTACCATATCTAGTCCCATACACTTTTTAAGTTTGCGTGGACACACGTACGTGCACCTCCTCTGAACTTGCTTGACCCTAATCGTCAACGCTTCCGGCATTCCGTTCTGTTAAATAAGTTTGAAGTGAATTCACTGCAGTCTTTATAACAGCTTTTGTATTTAAGCTACGTTTAGCGTCCAAAATCTGCTGTAACTCCTCTTTACAACAACAAAACGGCCGTCATCAATGGCCATTTTCACTGTTGTCATTTGGTTCTGAAAATGTGACGTCACGAGCGTCACGGAAAAGGTCTCGCCTACCAATGTTTTCATTGGTTGAGATCTTATAAGCTTCGCCTACAAATATTCATGAGGGAGTAGTCCTCTTTCTGGCAGGAAGTAGTCTTTTTTGCAGGGAGTAGTCCTAATTTAGTAGGGAGTAGCCCTGAGACGGAGATATTTAAGTGATTTAAGGGACATAGCAGATTTTATCGTATTGTTTTTATATAGGAAAAACTCAGTAGAGGTATAATACTTAAAACTGTTTTCCCGGTTAGAGCGAACTGTCACCCGGCGCGAATTAGATGCGCAGAAATCCCCCCTCGAGAGCCCCGTTCAAGCGTTTCGGTGACCACGACTCAGTGTTGTTCACGCAGACGAAGCAATGCAATGGCGAGTCATCATTACATGCAGTATTGATAGCGGCCTCGGGCAAACAGTTTCTAGGGCTTCCCCCTACCGAGGGATGATAGTTTTGACTGTTCCCCAAACAGCCATCAAACAATTGTATACTGTACACAGCACAGATATGTTGTCTATAACGATAACTGTACACGGCACAGACATGTTAATTTTAACGGTGACTGTACACGGCACATATATGTTGGTTATAACGGTAACTGTTAACAGGACAGATGTGTTGTCTATAACGGTAACTGTACACGACACAGATATGTTGACTATAACGGTACCTGTACACGGCACAGATATGTTGGTTATAATGATAACTGTACACGACACAGATATGTTGTCTATAACGGTAACTGTACACGGCACAGATATGTTGGTTATAATGATAACTGTACACGGCACAGATATGTTGTCTATAACGGTAACTGTACACGGCACAGATATGTTGGTTATAATGATAACTGTACACGGCACAGATATGTTGGTTATAATGATAACTGTACACGGCACAGATATGTTGTCTTTAACGGTAACTGTACACGGCACAGATATGTTGGTTATAACGATAACAGTACACAGCACATATATGATGTCTATAACGGTAACAGAACGCAGAACAGATATGTTGGCTATAACGGTTACAGTACACAGTACAGACATGTTGGTTATAACGATAACAGTACACAGCACATATATGATGTCTATAACGATAACTGTACACGGCACAGCTATGTTGTTCATCACGGTAACTGTACACAGCACACATATGTTGGTTATAACGATGATTGTACACATCACTGACTTGTTGGTTATAACGGTGACTGTACACGGCGCAGATATGTTGGTTATAACGATGACTGCACACGGCACAGATATGTTGGTTATAATGATAACTGTACACGGCACTGATATGTTGTCTTTAACGGTAACTGTACACGGCACACATATGTTGGTTATAACGATAACAGTACACAGCACATATATGATGTCTATAACGGTAACAGAACGCAGAACAGATTTGTTGGCTATAACGGTTACAGTACACAGTACAGACATGTTGGTTATAACGATAACAGTACACAGCACATATATGATGTCTATAACGATAACTTTACACGGCACAGCTATGTTGTTCATCACGGTAACTGTACACAGCACACATATGTTGGTTATAACGATAACAGTACACAGCACAGATATGTTGTTCATCACGGTAACTGTACACAGCTCACATATGTTGGTTATAACGATAACAGTACACAGCACATATATGATGTCTATAACGATAACTGTCCACGGCACAGCTATGTTGTTCATCACGGTAACTGTACACAGCACACATATGTTGGTTATAACGATAACAGTACACATAACAGATATGTTGGCTATAACGGTAACAGTACACAGCACAGATATGCTGTTTATCACGATAACAGTACACAGCACAGATATGTTGGTTATAACGGCGACTGTACACAGCACAGATATGTTGGTTATAACGGTAACAGTACACAGCACAGATATGTTGGTTATAACGGTAACTGTATACGACACAGATATGATGGTTATAACGGTAACAGTACAGATGATTGTACACGGCACAGATATGTTGGTTATAACGGTGACTGTACACAGCACAGATATGTTGGTTATAACGGTAACTGTATACGACACAGATATGATGGTTATAACGGTAACAGTACAGATGATTGTACACGGCACAGATATGTTGGTTATAACGGTGACTGTACACAGCACAGATATGTTGGTTATAACGATGATTGTACACATCACTGACTTGTTGGTTATAACGGTGACTGTACACATCACAGACTTGTTGGTTATAACGATGACTGTACACATCACAGATTTGTTGGTTATAACGGTGACTGTACACAGCACAGATATGTTGGTTATAACGGTGACTGTACACGGCACAGATATGGTGGTTATAACGGTAACAGTACACAGCACAGATATGTTGGTTATAACGGTGGCAGTACACAGCACAGATATGTTGGTTATAACGGTAACAGTACACAGCACAGATATGCTGTTCATCACGGTAACTGTACATGGCACATATATGTTGGTTATAACGATGACTGCACACGGCACAGATATGTTGGGTACAGCGGTGACTGTACACAGCACATCTATGTTGGTTATAACGATCACAGTACACGGCACAGATATGTTGGTTATAACGATGACTGTACACAGCACACATATGTTGGTTATAACGGTGACTGTACACGGCACATATATGTTGGTTATAACGATGACTGTACACATCACAGATATGTTGGTTATAACGATGACTGTACACAGCACACATATGTTGGTTATAACGGTAACAGTACACAGCACAGATATGTTGGTTATAACGGTAACAGTACACAGCACAGATATGTTGGTTATAACGGTGACAGTACACAGCACAGATATGTTGGTTATAACGGTGACTGTACACAGCACAGATATGTTGGTTATAACGGTGACTGTACACGGCACATATATGTTGGTTATAACGGTGACTGTACACATCACAGACTTGTTGGTTATAACGGTGACTGTACACGGCACATATATGTTAATTTTTACGGTGACTGTACACATCACAGATATGTTGGTTATAACGATGACTTTACACATCACAGACTTGTTGGTTATAACGGTGACTGTACACGGCACATACATGTTAGTTTTAACGGTGACTGTACACATCACAGACTTGTTGGTTATAACGATGACTGTACACATCACAGATATGTTGGTTATAACGATGACTGTACACGACACAGACTTGTTAGTTATAACGATGACTGTACACAGCACAGATATGTTGGTTATAACGGTAACTGTACACTGCACAGACTTGTTGGTTATAACGATGACTGTACACATCACAGCTATGTTGGTTATAATGATGACTGTACACAGCACAGATACGTTGGTTATAACGATGACTGTACACATCACAGATATGTTGGTTATACCGGTGACTGTACACAGCACAGATATGTTGGTTATAACGATGACTGTTTACATCACAGATATGTTGGTTATAACGGTGACTGTACACAGCACAGATATGTTGGTTATAACGGTGACTGCACACGGCACAGAAATGTTGGTTATAACGGTAACTGTACACGGCACAGATATGTTGTCTATAACGATGACTGTACACATCACAGACCTGTTGGTTATAACGGTAACTGCACACGGCACAGAAATGTTGGTTATAACGATGACTGTACACGACACAGATATATTGGTTATAACGGTGACTGTACACATCACTGACTTGTTGGTTATAACGGTGACTGTACACATCACAGACTTGTTGGTTATAACGATGACTGTACACATCACAGATATGTTGGTTATACCGTCGACTGTACACAGCACAGATATGTTGGTTATAACGGTGACTATACAAATCACAGACTTGTTGGTTATAACGGTAACAGTACACAGCACAGATATGTTGGTTATAACGGTGACTATACAAATCACAGATATGTTGGTTATAACGGTAACTGTACACGGCACAGATATGTTGTCTATAACGGTGACTGTACACATCACAGACTTGTTGGTTATAACGGTAACTGCACACGGCACAGAAATGTTGGTTATAACGGTGACTGTACACGACACAGATATGTTGGTTATAACGGTGACTGTACACATCACTGACTTGTTGGTTATAACGGTGACTGTACACGGCGCAGATATGTTGGTTATAACGGTGACTGTACACATCACAGACTTGTTGGTTATAACGGTGACTGTACACGGCACAGACATGTTAATTTTAACGGTGACTGTACACATCACAGACTTGTTGGTTATAACGATGACTGTACACATCACAGACTTGTTGGTTATAACGATGACTGTACACGGCACAGATATGTTGGTTATAACGATGACTGTACACGGCACAGACATGTTAATTTTAACGGTGACTGTACACATCAGACTTGTTGGTTATAACGGTGACTGTACACGGCACAGACATGTTGGTTATAACGGTGAATAATAGTACAGCACTAAAACGAACAACACTTTTGATAAGGTTGAATCAGTGACAACGTAGTCTCTTTAGCGAAATCGTGCGTTTTGTAAACAGAAACATTTGACACTAAATACATATGGGATCGTACATGAGTTTCCATGTCATATCACATTTATTTAACGAGTCTAAGATTTTTTCATTTAAGAGGCGAGCTTAAATGAAAAATTCGTGACGTGTTTCATAAATCTCATATGGCATGGAAACAAGTGAAGGTTTCCTTTTATCATAAAGCTGATATACTGTCCTTGCAGTCGTTTAAACAAAAAAATGCATCCTCCGTCATTTTATTAGCTGTATTTCGTTGACATGACCGAAGTACCACTATCAAAATGTAGGTCGGATATATAAGCGCTGTAACGAATAGTCCCAAATACTTTTTAAAAAGTTACTCAAACAACATGGATAAATATGAACATGTAATNAGCGTCACACTACGCGGAAATTTGAGGTGTCCACAGTTTCAGTGAGACAGCCGCCTATCACTTTCGATTCGATAACCCTGCGTCGTTTCACTTGTTTGGGTAGTGATGTGGGAGATTGTTGATAAATGTTAATGCTGAAATATCCACCGTAAATGTTTCCTCCAAACACAGAATGCACATTTCCATGGAACCAACTTGAAATTGTGCGTCCGCCATGTTTACTGCATTGTACTTCACGTAGTGCGGAGAAATTTACTATCGTGGGAAAGTGGGATGCGGTCAACTAATCAAAATCACTCAAGGCCATATACGTTGAGTTAATTTGAGAAAATATGAAATGGGTATTTTCACTGTATAACAGGGGAGTGAGATGATAAATGATAATTCGTATATACCTGTATGATTATTTTTGTTCTGGATACAAAACATTCCCAATATATTTGTGTTTATTTGAAAGGCAATTGCCACAATTTGCCATTTGGTCTTCATGCCCGGATTTGTCCTCCGGTACATGCACGTGGTCTTTAGGTGGAAATGACGGAATTAAGGACACAGACCCCCACCAACCAATACGTGTCTGTCTTCACCTGCGGAATGACAATAGAGCGATAGAGTCAGAATGTCATGAGGTGGACATTGAAAACAAAGGTAAGCAATGTTTCGGAGTCTTTGTAAAGTTATCCTCTATAATGCACAGCTTACATTCAATGCGTTGCACATAATTAAATTACAATTCGTATATACATTTTGTATGTATATGCAAACACTGCGTAGAAATTAAAACATAATTAAATATTGATCAGATCACAACTAAAACATATTTTTACGGTGTTTTTTTCTATTTTCTCAGCAACGTGATATTTTATAATAAATACATTATAACTTATATAAAAACCTCTAACCAGACGTTAATCAACCGGCGTATTGTCATTACAATGGCTTCATTGTCAAACCAATGCAGGTAGTATTATTTTACAGTAAAACCAGCCACGGTTAGTGATTTGGTAGCAAAGCCCCAATATCCTAACTGTATTTGTGCTCAGTGGACACATCAGAAAGTTATACCATCAAAGATATTCTCTTTGGAAATATCTTCACCAGGCTCGGCCACAATACAAAAGGTAAGGTATTTTACATCAGTACATTGTATGTCCTTTTTTGTAATATCGTATCTGTTTTTTAACCTGCATCATTTTCCTCGATTAGACGGCAGACATCATTGAGGGTGCTACATGTACAACACTGTAGAAAAGGATCACCCTAGAGGGACATATATGCTTGCCCCATTCTATATTAGTTTAGTCTAACATGTTACATGATGTATATATAAATGGTCTCAAAACATGTGAATGAAACTAGATTTAACAATCTGTTTCGAGCAGTAGTTTAACAAGCCCGCTTTAGGACGATGTTGTAGCTGTGCTCCATGTTTGAGGTTAAGTGTAGACACACTTAGTCAATAAGTTTACCGATGTCTTGTACATGATACAATATCCATCTGTATACTTTGTTGGAAAACGAACTTATCTTAAGGACAGTTATTGCATGCAGAATTTGGTAGGCTCATTAGTATTTCATAAATTGGTAATCAAACTTAGCACGATATCTAGACTTACCATCACACGTGTATGTACATACATGTACGTTTGTTCATACGTAATTTTGTTGAAATGGGTTTTGTTTAGAGCAGTTATTGCATAAAGATTAATCGACTGATAAAATTCAAGTCGCGTCATTTATGATGCGCAAATATACATTCATCGCATTGATTGGTGCCTGAGATTTGCTTTGATGCAAGTTCATACCTAATTAGACTGAAATCGAATCATTTTAGGGCAAGTCTTGACTGGAAACCAATTAACCAGTGAGAATTAAACAGCCTATTTATTATTCATCACCTTTGCGCACGAACTTAAGGTGGCTCAACACACCACGAAAAAAATGGATAAAAACCATTGAAATCTAACTATTGTGTTTCCTATGATTACCCAATAACTTCCTAGACCTTAGTATAGCATCCGGCAAGCTCATCATTTCTCAAATGCCATTTTTTTTTTAAATAAAATGTTCTCAACTTTTTTGAGGCTGCATAATTATGCAGGTTCACGTAACAACTAAGGACAAGTAAAATGTGTTTCAAAATCTCCCAAACTGACAGTTAAATATGTATAATTTTGTCTGTAAAATATTCTAGAAATATCAAACTATTAATGAACACTGTTAAAATGATTGATAAATGAATAATTAATTAGAAAAAATAATGACATTGAAATTTCCATTTGAGAGTTATCTTTCTTGATTAAACAGGAACTTTTTTTCATAGGGCATTATTAGCCAGTGCACTTTCCAAAACATAAGGTTTTTTTTCCAAATAAAATGATTTATAACAAATAATTATAATGTTTCAAAAAAGACAAACAATATACATTGATGATATAAGCAACAGTACAATAAATATAATACAAATAATCAGATGTTTTGGCACAAACACAGCAGAAACTATGAATATTCAAAAAGCAAAAATTCTAAACTTTTTACCAACAAGCATGGAGTTGGAGTCAAATGTGTACTTGATTATGCTTTGTTTGTATACTTTTTTTGTGCATACAATGAAAAGTTAACATATTGTGAAAAATTGAGGAAAACATCATATTTTATGTAAACATGTTTTATAGAATTTACCAATAAATATAATTTATTGAGAAAATGATCAATAATTTTGTTCACGATAGCCTTGTTTGTTGTCACTCTTACAACATTAAAAAAAAAAAAATTCTATTAAAACATTTTCAAGTGGTTATATGAGAGTCCTGACTGTGCAATTTTTGTAACCATATACTCGATTCTCAGTGTGTCTCTTACTAAAGACTGCTGACAATAAGTAGAGCGACCAAGCAGAATTTCTCTAACATATACATGCTGTCTACAAAGCCAATCACTGTAGTTAACAATCAACACAATATGAGCATCCTTTGTCTGAATTTGTGGCTAATATGGCTAACTCCACCATCATCATCATCATCATCATCATCTTCTTCTTCATCATCCGTTACATAATTATCCGTTGGATAATCATCTAAAATAAATGTATAAATAACTGAATCAATGGACACCTGACATATATAATTTTTATTTGCATTCAAATATGTGTAGAATAGGTGATATTGGCACTGTAATATATTCTTATCTTATTAAATAAATACAATCAGTGTTTCTTCGGTCCTTCGAAAACATTGGCGAAAACGACATTAATGTAAAGCGTTCAAGTGATTGAGTATGTTTTTGTATTTTTCAAAGTTGGAGAGTTACTTTTTACGGTGTATGGGCACATTCTGCTTTGAAATATTCAGTCCGCTGTACTTTTTTCGGGAGTACGTCATGAAAATGGCCGCTTATGACGATATGTCGAGTAACCTTAACGTGAGACCTATCATTTTGTGTGTGCACGCTAAGTTGGTTGAACTTGAACCGTTGCTAGGTCACCTTTTGTTTGGAATCAATTAACCAATAAGAATCATGTAGCCTCTTTACACCTTGTAATTATTAGGATTATTAAATATGCACACATAATTTTTGCAATTGTGCTCTCCGTTATGTATGTGCTTACCAAATTGGACTATTGTCAGGCCATTTAAAGAACAGATTTGATAGGAGACATCATCCTGAATACATGTACCTAGTTTAGATTTTTTGTGGTTTCTGCTTTTATTTTCTTGTACTGGTGTCTCCTCAGTTGTTGTTGTGATGTCTCCTCAGTTGATGTTGTTGTGGTGTAACCTCAGTTGATGTTGTTGTGGTGTCTCCTCAGTTTTTGTAGTTGTGGTGTCTCCTCAGTTGTTGTTGTGATGTCTCCTCAGTTGATGTTGTTGTGGTGTCTCCTCAGTATATGTTGTTGTGGTGTCTCATCAGTTGATGTTGTTGTGGTGTAACCTCAGTTTTTGTAGTTGTGGTGTCTCCTCAGTTTTTGTAGTTGCGGTGTCTCCTCAGTTGATGTTGATGTGGTGTCTCCTCAGTTGATGTTGTTGTGGTGTCTCCTCAGTATATGTTGTTGTGGTGTCTCATCAGTTGATGTTGTTGTGGTGTAACCTCAGTTGATGTTGTTGTGGTGTCTCGTCAGTTGATGTTATTGTGGTGTCTCCTCAGTTTTTGTAGTTGAGATGTCTCCTCAGTTTTTGTTGTGGTGATGTCTCCTCAGTATATGTTGTTGTTATTTCTCCTCAGTTTATGTTTTTGAGATATTTCCTCATTTTATATTGTTGTGGTGTCTCCTCATTTGATGTTGTTGAGTATCTCATCAGTTGATGTTGTTGTGGTGTCTCCTCAGTTTTTGTAGTTGAGCTGTCTCCTCAGTTTTTGTTGTTGTGATGTCTCCTCAGTATATGTTGTTGTGGTGTCTCCTCAGTATATGTTGTTGTGGTGTCTCCTCAGTATATGTTGTTGTGATGTCTCATCAGTTGATGTTGTTGTGGTGTCTCCTCAGTATCTGTTGTTGTGATGTCTCCTCAGTTGATGTTGTTGTGGTGTCTTCTCAGTTTATGTTGTTGTGGTGTCTCCTCAGTTTATGTTGTTGTGATGTCTCCTCAGTATATGTTGTTGTGGTTTCTCCTCAGTTTATGTTGTTGTGGTGTCTCCTCAGTTGATGTTGTTGTGGTGTCTCCTCAGTTGATGTTGTTGTGGTGTCTTATCAGTTTATTTTGTTGTGGTGCCTCCTCAGTATATGTTGTTGTGGTGTCTCCTCAGTATATGTTGTTGTGGTGTCTCCTCAGTATATGTTTATGTCGTGTCTCCTCAGTTGATGTTGTTGTGATGTCTCCTCAGTTGATGTTGTTGTGGTGTCTCCTCAGTATATGTTGTTGTGATGTCTCCTCAGTATATGTTGTTGTGGTTTCAGTATATGTTGTTGTGATGTCTCCTCAGTATATGTTGATGTCTCTTCAGTATATGTTGTTGTGGTGTCTCCTAAATATATGTTGTTTTGATGTTTCTTCAGCATATGTTGTTGTTATGTCTCCTCAGTATATGTTGTTGTGGTTTCTCTTCAGTTTATGTTGTTGTGGTGTCTCCTCAGTATATGTTGTTGTGGTGTCTCATCAGTTGATGTTATTGTGGTGTCTTCTCAGTTTTCGTTGTTGTGACGTCTCCTCAGTTGTTGTAGTTGTGATGTCTCATCAGTTGATGTTGTTGTGGTGTCTCCTCAGTTGATGTTGTTGTGATGTCTCATCAGTTGATGTTGTTGTGGTGTCCCCTCAGTTTTTGTAGTTGTGGTGTCTCCTCAGTTGATGTTGTTGTGGTGTCTTCTCAGTTTATGTTGTTGTGGTATCTCATCAGTTTATGTTGTTGTGGTGTCTCCTCAGTATATGTTGTTGTGGTATCTCATCAGTTGATGTTGTTGTGGTGTAACCTCAGTTGATGTTGTTGTGGTGTGTGGTTTCTCCTCAGTTTATGTTGTTGTGGTGTCTCCTCAGTATATGTTGTTGTGGTGTCTCATCAGTTGATGTTATTGTGGTGTCCCATCGGTTGATGTTATTGTGGTGTCTTCTCAGTTTTCGTTGTTGTGATGTCCCCTCAGTTGTTGTAGTTGTGATGTCTCATCAGTTGATGTTGTTGTGGTGTCTCCTCAGTTGATGTTGTTGTGGTGTCTCCTCAGTATATGTTGTTGTCGTGTCTCCTCAGTTTATGTTGTTGTGATGTCTCCTCAGTTGATGTTGTTGTGGTGTAATCTCAGTTGATGTTGTTGTGGTGTCTCCTCAGTATATGTTGTTGTCGTGTCTCCTCAGTTTATGTTGTTGTGATGTCTCCTCAGTATATGTTGATGTCTCTTCAGTATATGTTGTTGTGGTGTCTCCTCAGTTGATGTTGTTGTGATGTCTCATCAGTTGATGTTGTTGTGGTGTCTCCTCAGTATCTTTAGTTTATGTTGTTGCGATGTCTCCTCAGTATATGTTGTTGTGGTTTCAGTATATGTTGTTGTGATGTCTCCTCAGTATATGTTGTTGTGATGTCTCATCAGTTGATGTTGTTGTGGTGTCTCCTCAGTATATGTTGTTGTGGTGTCTCATCAGTTGATGTTGTTGTGGTGTAACCTCAGTTGATGTTGTTTTGGTGTCTTGTGATGTCTCATCAGTTGATGTTGATGTGGTGTCTTCTCAGTTTTTGTAGTTATGGTGTCTCCTCAGTTTTTGTAGTTGTGGTGTCTCCTCAGTTGATGTTGTTGTGGTGTCTCATCAGTTGATGTTATTGTGGTGTCCCATCGGTTGATGTTATTGTGGTGTCTTCTCAGTTTTCGTTGTTGTGGTGTCTCCTCAGTTGTTGTAGTTGTGATGTCTCATCAGTTGATGTTGTTGTGGTGTCTCCTCAGTATCTGTTGTTTTGATGTCTCATCAGTTGATGTTGTTGTGGTGTCTCCTCAGTTTTTGTAGTTGAGATGTCTCCTCAGTATATGTTGTTGTGATTTCTCCTCAGTTTATGTTTTTGAGATATTTCCTCATTTGATGTTGTTGTGGTGTCTCCTCAGTTGATGTTGTTGAGTATCTCATCAGTTGATGTTGGTGTGGTGTCTCCTCAGTATTTGTAGTTGAGATGTCTCCTCAGTTTTTGTTGTTGTGATGTCTCCTCAGTATATGTTGTTGTGATGTCTCCTCAGTATATGTTGTTGTGGTTTCAGTATATGTTGTTGTGATGGCTCCTCAGTATATGTTGTTGTGGTTTCAGTATATTTTGTTGTGATGTCTCCTCATTATATGTTGTTGTGGTTTCAGTATATGTTGTTGTGATGACTCCTCAGTATATGTTGTTGTGGTTTCAGTATATGTGGTTGTGATGTCTCCTCAGTATATGTTGTTGTGGTTTCTCCTCAGTTGATGTTGTTGTGGTGTCTCCTCAGGTGATGTTGTTGTAGTGTCTTCTCAGTTTATGTTGTTGTGGTGTCTCCTCAGTATATGTCGTTGTGGTGTCTCCTCAGTTGATGTTGTTGTGGTGTCTCCTCAGTTGATGTTGTTGTAGTGTCTTCTCAGTTTATGTTGTTGTGGTGTCTCCTCAGTATATGTTGTTGTGGTGTCTCATCAGTTGATGTTGTTGTGGTGTAACCTCAGTTGATGTTGTTGTGGTGTAACCTCAGTTGATGTTGTTTTGGTGTCTCCTCAGTTGATGTTGTTGTGTTGTCTCCTCAGTATCTGTTGTTGTGATGTCTCATCAGTTGATGTTGTTGTGGTGTCTCCTCAGTATATGTTGTTGTGATGTCTCCTCAGTTGATGTTGTTGTGGTGTCTCCTCAGTATATGTTGTTGTGATGTCTCCTCAGTTGATGTTGTTGTGGTGTCTTCTCAGTTTATGTTGTTCTGGTGTCTCCTCAGTATATGTTGTTGTGATGTCTCCCCAGTATCTGTTGTTATGATGTCTCCTCAGTTGATGTTGTTCTGGTGTCTCCTCATTATATGTTGTTGTGATGTCTCCCCAGTATATGTTGTTATGATGTCTCAGTATATGTTGTTGTGGTGTCTCCTCAGTATATGTTGTTGTGATGTCTCCCCAGTATCTGTTGTTATGATGTCTCCTCAGTTGATGTTGTTGTGATGTCTCCTCATTTGATGTTGTTGTGGTGTCTCCTCAGTATATGTTGTTGTGGTGTCTCCTCAGTTGATGTTGATGTTGTTGTGGTGTAACCTCAGTTGATGTTGTTTTGGTGTCTCCTCAGCTGATGTTGTTGTGTTGTCTCCTCGGTATCTGTTGTTGTGATGTCTCATCAGTTGATGTTGTTGTGGTGTCTCCTCAGTATCTGTTGTTGTGATGTCTCCTCAGTTGATGTTGTTGTGGTGTCTTCTCAGTTTATGTTGTTCTGGTGTCTCCTCAGTATATGTTGTTGTGATGTCTCCTCAGTTGATGTTGTTGTGATGTCTCCCCAGTATATGTTGTTATGATGTATCCTCAGTTGATGTTGTTCTGGTGTCTCCTCAGAATATGTTGTTGTGATGTCTCCCCAGTATATGTTGTTATGATGTCTCCTCAGTTGATGTTGTTGTGATGTCTCCTCAGTATATGTTGTTGTGATGTCTCCCCAGTATCTGTTGTTATGATGTCTCCTCAGTTGATGTTGTTCTGGTGTCTCCTCAATATATGTTGTTGTGATGTCTCCCCAGTATATGTTGTTATGATGTCTCCTCAGTTGATGTTGTTCTGGTGTCTCCTCAGAATATGTTGTTGTGATGTCTCCCCAGTATATGTTGTTATGATGTCTCCTCAGTTGATGTTGTTCTGGTGTCTCCTCAATATATGTTGTTGTGATGTCTCCCCAGTATATGTTGTTATGATGTCTCCTCAGTTGATGTTGTTCTGGTGTCTCCTCAGTATATGTTGTTGTGATGTCTCCCCAGTATATGTTGTTATGATGTCTCCTCAGTTGATGTTGTTGTGATGTCTCCCCAGTATATGTTGTTATGATGTCTACTCAGTTGATGTTGTTCTGGTGTCTCCTCAGAATATGTTGTTGTGATGTCTCCTCAGTTGATGTTGTTGTGGTGTCTCCTCATTTGATGTTGTTGTGATGTCTCCTCAGTTGATGTTGTTGTGTTGTCTGCTAAGTATATATTGTTTTGATGTCTCTTCAGTTTATGTTATTATGGTATCTCCTCTGTTTATCTAGTTGTTTTGTTTCTTGAGATTTTTGTTTTTATGGTGTTTCTTCAGCTTATGTTGTTGTGGTGTCGCCTCAGTTTATGTTGTTGATATGTCTCCTCAGTTTTCGTTGTTTGGATGTCCTCAGTTTATGTTTTTGAAATTTCTCCTCAGTTGATGTTGTTGAGTATCTCCTCAGTTTTCGTTGTTTTGGTGTCTCCTCAGTTGATGTTGTTGAGATGTCTTCTCTGTACATGTATATGTTGCTGTGATGTCTCTTGCGATTTTGTTGTTGTGGTGCCTCTTCAGTATATGTTATTGTGTTGTCTCTTAAGTATATGTTGTTTTGATGTCTCCTCATTTGATGTTGTTTTGGTATCTCCTCTATTTATATTGTTGTGATGCCTCCTCAGTATATGTTGTTAAGGTATCTCCTCTGTTTATTTAGTTGTGGTGTCTCTTGATATTTTGCTATTGTTGTGTCTCCTCAGTTGATGTTGTTGTGATGTCTCCTCAGTTGATGTTGTTGTGGTGTCTCCTCAGTATATGTTGTTGTGATTTCTCCTCAGTTTTTGTTGTTGTGCTGTCGCCTCAGTTGATGTTGTTGAGATGTCTTCTCAGTATATGTAGTTTTGATGTCTCCTCATTTGATGTTTTTGTGGTGTCTCTTGATATTTTGTTTTTGTGATGTCTTCTCAGTTGATGTTTTTGTCGTGTCTCCTCAGTTGATGTTGTTGAGATTTCTCCTCATTTGATGTTGTTGTGATATCTCCTCAGTTTTCGTTGTTTTGAATATCCTCAGTTTTTGTTGTTGAGATTTCTCCTCAGTTGATGTTGTTGTGATTTCTCCTCCGTAAATGTTGTTGTGATGTCACCTCAGTAAATGTTGTTGTGATGTCACCTCAGTAAATGTTGTTGTGATGTCACCTCCGTAAATGTTGTTGTGATGTCACCTCAGTAAATGTTGTTGTGATGTCACCTCAGTAAATGTTGTTGTGGTGTCTCCACAGTTTATCTTGTTTTCAGTCGATTGCTAGAAAGAAATGTTTGCTTAAGCTTTAAGAGACATAAGGTTTTTAGATACAAGACAAGTAAAGCGTATACTGTTCTTTCTGTGTAGATGCAAGGTGTGTACAGAGTTGAATTCTTATTTATCGAAATAAGTGAAGTGTTTGTAACATTTTTGACATTTACGTTTTCTGTTCACTATTAGAATTCACAAGTTGAATTTGAGTGTACAACATTTGCTGAGACGAACTGTATGTGAGTTTGTTATACCGTCAATCTGTGTCAACATAAAGCTGAGCACGCAACCTTGACTAATGACGTAATATAGCTTTGAATCAATCGCTCATGTGACGGTTTAGAATATTGTAGAATAAAACAGTCATTTTCACACTGTTTAGAGTATTGTAGAATCACATAGACTCTTAGATTAAATTATCGATATACAGATAAGAAGGTTAATAGACTCATTAAACGCCCTGTTTATAATACCATAGCGATAATAACGAATGTAGCCCAAACACATATTTACCAAAGCAAATTGCTTATTCATGAAATGTATGTCAAGCCATTTGCAATTGCCTCCCTTCCAGTATGAGAAATAACAAAAATACAGTTGAATCCATCACTACTTTGCTGAGAAAACTCTATAATTGACAAAAAACCTGTCATAACCTGTCATCCTATCTCATAAAACATTGAAATCGTGTCTATTTACAGAACGTACGGATGGACTCATTTTATGATTACGATGACTCGTCCGAATTCCAAAGTGGATCCTACACAAACTTAACGGTTTGCAATCTTTCCTATTTCGTTAACTACACGATTTCCGTGAGGGTAGGAGCCATTGATATGGACGACAACCAAATAGGCTACTGGAGCGACTCGCTGGCTATTAATGTAGTCACGTCGAAAACGGGTGAGATTATGTATACATACTTTTAAAATGTATTGTGAAGAGATAATACTGCTGATATGGACAGTGCATATGGCAAACTTACCTCATTTTAAAATGTCGACCAATAATAACTACATTGTACAGGGTTAATGAGCTAGTTATAGTGGTTCAAACTTTATTTTACAATACTTTTATCTCTACATATTGGTTTTCAGTTCCATCAGGTCCGCCTTCTTTACCCCAGGGTGGGTACACCCTCTCGGCTGTCAATGGTAAAGGATATAGGTTGGCCAGAATCTACTGGACGGTACGTAAATCAACCTCCAAATAATAATGTACGGATTTTAATTGGCAAACCAACATCGGTTCTCTTCTCCATAGATGTTTACATCGGAATGCTGTCATTTCACATACAGTGATAAAGAGAGCCTTATTTATAAAACCAATATTAAACATTAGAAGCAGCTATGTTCAACTGGTATAATTATAAAGAAACAAGTTACCTTTGTTTATATTTTACTCAATTATTAGCAAAAAATATCACACTTAGTGTTATTATTTTTTTACTTTTATATGTTTACAAAGAGTCTTCCTAAGCACGCGTGGAATGGGGAGACTATAACGTACGAACTGGAGGCATTTCCGGTCGATGGGTGTGGATCGCGAACCGTCCGACTTAGTAGGCGAAATACATCAGCAGAATTCGATATTATGTATACATGTTCCTACAACATCAAAGTATGGTCAAGAAATGAAATAGGGAGGTCAAAGGACGTCAGCGTTCTTCTGTTGGAACAGAACGGTAATTATGTAAACTATTAACAATAGACTAGAAGGTTATATACATGTAGTATGAATCAACTTTCTTTCTTTGTTTTCTAGACCAACCACAAAACATTTGTATAACAATATATCTTCTTAGAATGTGTTTAACACGTTCTTACCATTCTATTCAAATTAGTGTATCTAATGATTTAACATTATTTACGCAGACTGAAATACTGTCAAATCTAAAGCAAAACAAAACTAAAAACAAATACAAAAACACCATGAAAATCGGTTGCGTAATAAAAAACAAAATTTCTCGGATTTTGTTACGCTGATTCAAAATAGTTTTCACCAGTCTAAAAAAGATAAAATAGTCAGCCAACTGACGCCAATGTGACATTGTGGCGTCACCGGTTTGACCGCGTCGAAAAAAATAACAGTGATTCTCAGAAAGCGAATACGATAACATTTGCGTATTTAACGTCAAAAAGATGATGACACGCAAATAACTGTTCACTACGGAATGTTCCCGACATATTCTAGCCCAGCAACGAGGGTGTTAAGTAACGTGGAGCAATTCAGCTTTATGATATCTGTTTGGAAACCTTAGTCATGATGGCATGGACACACAGCTGTGACCTCCAACCTGAATGTATAATCTTGACATTTTGCTAGTGATGAATGAATAATGCAAAGAATTGTAAATAAAGTTTCATGATATTTGACCTTGATCTTTTACTAGTCTCAGAAAATTAATGCCACGTATGCTTGTATAAATTCCATGGAATTTGGTTGAAATCAGAAAACTTAAGACAAAGACATGTAAAGAAGCTATATATGTAAGATTTTGTAGTTGTAGCCTTCACCATGAACTTGATGACATTGACCTCCAGCTGACCTCCAGAGAATGATATCAGATTCGTAATGTAAAGATTCTGTAGTCGTAGCCTTCACCTTGAACTTGATGACATTGACCTCCAGATAATGATATCAGATTCGTAATGTATAGATTCTGTAGTCGTAGCCTTCACCTTGAACTTGATGACATTGACCTCCACCTGATCTCAAGAGAATGATGTCAGATTAGTAACGTAAATATTCTGTAGTTGTAGCCTTCACCATGAACTTGATGACATTGACCTCCACCTGACCTCCAGAGAATGATGTCAGATTAGTAACGTAAATATTCTGTAGTTGTAGCCTTCACCTTGAACTTGATGACATTGACCACCAGATAATGATATCAGATTCGTAATGTATAGATTCTGTAGTCGTAGCCTTCACCTTGAACTTGATGACATTGACCTCCACCTGACCTCCAGAGAATGATGTCAGATTAGTAATGTAAAGATTCTGTAGTTGTAGCCTTTACCTTGAAATTGATGACATTGACCTCCAGATAATGATATCAGATTAGTAATGTAAAGATTCTGTAGTTGTAGCCTTCACCTTGAACTTGATGACATTGACCTCAAGAGAATGATATCAGATTAGTAATGTAAAGATTCTGTAGTTGTAGCCTTCACCTTGAACTTGATGACATTGACCTCAAGAGAATGATATCAGATTAGTAATGTAAAGATTCTGTAGTTGTAGCCTTCACCTTGAACTTGATGACATTGACCTCAAGAGAATGATATCAGATTAGTAATGTAAAGATTCTGTAGTTGTAGCCTTCACCTTGAACTTGATGACATTGACCTCAAGAGAATGATATCAGATTAGTAATGTATAGATTCTGTAGTTGTAGCCTTCAACTTGAACTTGATGACATTGACCTCAAGAGAATGATATCAGATTAGTAATGTATAGATTCTGTAGTTGTAGCCTTCACCTTGAACTTGATGACATTGACCTCAAGAGAATGATATCAGATTAGTAATGTATAGATTCTGTAGTTGTAGCCTTCAACTTGAACTTGATGACATTGACCTCAAGAGAATGATATCAGATTAGTAATGTATAGATTCTGTAGTTGTAGCCTTCAACTTGAACTTGGTGACATTGACCTCCAGAGAATGATGTCACATTCGTAATGTAAAGATTCTGTAGGTGTAGCCTTTACCTTGAACTTGATTATTTTGATCTCCACCTGATCTCAAGAGAATGATGTCACATTAGTAATGTAAAGATTCTGTAGTTGTAGGTTTGACTTTAAAGATACTAACTTAAACTTGTTTCTAGAGATTGATGTCAGATATAGAATCTGCAGAAAACTCAAATGTTGTGCGACAGACGGATAAAATGATATCAAAATATGCTCCACAACTGTCTGAGAGTCAGAAAGCATGTCTCTTTCAGTGTATTCTCCTCAAAACCATCAAACTCATCAAAGTGCTTTTCGAGAAAAATACAATATACAAACCGTTATTTGTATCCAGAAACTACCAGTTGATGTTAAGATAATCATGGTCAAAATCGATAAATTACCCTTAAAAAATGTTGATTTTTTGCTTTAATTCTCAAATTGCCGTGGGGTTCAGACTGACTTCGGATTAAAAGTAACAAACATTTAGTTACTGCTATTTCGTTTGCTGCTTAACATTTGGTTTAACATTTATTAACTAAAATCGCCGTCTTTCCTACTATTGTGTAAGCTGCACCAAGTAAGAGTTATGTTGTCAGATACACTAGCTAAGTATACATGTATTGCAATGTAAGTACTGTGTCCCTCTTCTGTTGAACGTATCAATTATGAAGTTCTTTATATAACGGACATCGAGAAGGTTTCGTTCCGAGGCTACAAATCAAATATCACATTCCTTAGTTATAAACATAGGCTTGCATTGCTAATATACTTTCCAGATCTGGCAGACAAAGGTTTTTTTTTATTTCCAGAAAAGACTTTCTTCATGATTACTTAGTTTCGAATCGATTCGTGATTAAAACAGATCACTATGTCCGGTTCCGGTCACATTGGTGTAGCGTGAAAACGTAAATATTTACATTTGCATGGTATTGTGACTATATAGCGTCTTTGAAAGCTGTGTCGTTGATGGGACTTCAATTACCATGCATCACGAGACACAATTTTTAGCGTATTAATATAACACTGACCGGAACTACAATATCCAATGAAAATAAACATGACGGCTGTTGAAGTATCGCTGGGAATTACGAGACTTGACAATGTAATTGTAAATTTATATGCAAAAGAAAAAATAGAAAATATATATATTTATTTTTTTACTTTTATTACAACAAAAACAAGACCAAGGTCTGCAATATCGTACAAAATGCACATCGGTTGAAATCACCAATGCCGTCAATGGAAACAATTTTAACACTCATGCAATTTATCAGAAATATCGTCAATTACACTGCACTGATCAACAGGGCTTCGTTACAAATGTTTGAAATGCACATATTCTATAGACCTACTGACACATATGTTACAGACCTACTGATATGAATCACAGCAAACATTTCAGACATTTGTAACGAACCCCTGTTCTCCGTCGCAAGATCACTCACATCAAACGCTATCAGTTTCACGCGTCTCGCAGCCACGGTTTCCTCAGTGTCTGACGACATGTCAAATAACGAGGCTGTTATAGAATCTACCGGCTGTAGTCAGATTCCCATACAATCAACAAATAAATTCACGTCTTGATTCTCTACAAATCCGAACTTTTCTCTTTGCTCATTTAACTTCCAAAAATAACTCCCTCGTGGAGGGCAAGGTTGGATTTACGGTGTTCACTGTATTTATCCATGCGCGAAATTTGTTCCGGGGGAAAATCGAAACAATTTCAAATCGAACTTTCAGCTTAGAGTTCTATTGATAAACTAAAATCATACTATAGACATACCATACGCTATTGTATTGATACTGAATTGTGGAATAAAATTGAAGTATTTGTTGAAATTTCAAGTACTACTTTGTTTGCCAATCACACAACACACTGTTCCAACTATTGAAAGATTTTGTGTGGACTGTCGATAAAGCGGGAATTTTAAATTTTAAATATCAATTGTAAGTTAAAAAAGAACATAAGAGGCAGAGAAAACGTCAATATAAGTATTGAACTGTTTTTGTATGGTATTTATTATCTATTTGAATGACACAGCTTTGCTAGCGCGCATTATGTTGTTTGCTTGCAAAGCTGTGTCATTCAAATAGATCATAAATACCATACAAAAACAGTTCAAACAGCTTAAACAAACAATGTTAAACGATCAGACTACCACAACGCTACATTGTACGTATGCCTTCATGTTCATAAAACACGAACAAGTTCGTAAGGATCGTTCGGTTATTTAATTTGCTAAAGTGATGACATGATCTAATCCTAGACGTTTCGGTACCCGGTAGTTTCGGTAGACAAGGATAATTCAGTTCTTTACATGACAAAAATACTAAAAAAAACACATACAATAAGAAACACACATGACACAAAAGAAGCTACTTACAACTTTGAAACGTCAGTTTCAAGTGCCGAAAATCTGATAAAACATCAAAACGATTATTGGGAAGAACCGAAACGTCTCATACAAGTACTGAAAGATCATTTGAAAGCATTACTCCGTAATCAGTCAAACCCCAAACATTGCCGTGTTCAGTTGATGCCATTCGGCCACCATATTATCAAATGAGAAATGTGACATACTCTTTTTTCAAAACAATCCAATATACTTGATCAAAATTATAACAAACAAAGGGTTGTTATAAATACTTGAATGAAATATATTTATTTTACAACAATTATGAAACAAGTTGTATAACTTATATTTATCAATCTTGTTGGCCCAGATGTAAGTGCAAAGGGGGTCTTCATGTAGGAGGAAACCGCAGTACCTGGAGAATGGGGCCGCAGTGGCAAAGTGGTTAAGCCGTCTGACAATCTGCTACCACTTGCCCTCCATTACTGGGTCGCGGGTTCCAGACCTACGTGGGGCAGTCACCATGTACTGGCCGTAAGTCGGTGGTTTTCCTCTTGGAAATCCGGCTTTCCTCCACCCTAAAACCCTGGCACGTCCTTAAATTACCATAGCTGTTAATAGGATGTAAAACACAAACAAACCGAACTCAACCAAAGTACCCGGAGAAAACCAACGTGGTCGGCCAGGAGATCTCATACCTTTTCACGTCCGATCGGGGAATCGAACCCCGGCCAGTTTTATTGTATCTTCAAAAGTAGAGTAACAAAATAGGCTGAAAATAATGTCATTAAACTTTCCACCGGGAAACACCTTTCTTATATCAGATTCCACCGGGGAACACCTTTCTTATATCAGATTCCACCGGGGAACATCATTATACAGGCTTTCATTCCACACGGCAGCGCTTTCAACTGCAATTCAACTGTGTTCTCTGTCGAAGTAAGGTATGTTCGCCGGCGGTATCGTCTCTTTGTTATACCTGATGTTTTGTCAGATGATAAACTATTGTTAAACAAAGGGTTATTATTAATTCGCCAGAGTATTAGACGAATATTCTGGCGGTCCCTGCCCACCGTTCTTCATCATCATACATAAAGTTCGTTTTTTTAATTGCAAAATAGAAAGGGACCAGCCACCATACATGGTTCTACCAGGGGGTTATCGTGTTCAGTTAGACCTGACACTGCTGTGTGTTGGTAGTCAGTTATGGCAGTAAACACAAATCGTTCTCCCGCATGCTTCATTTCTAGTTAAAAATAAAAAGTAGAATTTTACAGGTAGGTGGTTAGCATTCACATGCACTCTTTGAAGACAGTCTACTTGACACCCCTCAAAAGAGATGAAAACGCAATATACATATATATAATAGTGCTAAATATTTACGAAGTGCTAAAGGATATTTAATTGACTTTACTTATAGTGCTTTTTGTACATGAACATTTTTTGAGTGCAGTTCCTTTTTTTGTCAGTCAAACACAATAAATATTGAGTTTTCTCATCGTACTTCGTCATGCTTTCTTTCTAATGTCAGTTTTGCTTTAAAATGAGGAAGGAACAATGAAACTGTGCTTTATATCAGATGTGTTCAACTTATTGTCCTTCCGTAGTCATTTATCTATCGTTTACTTGTGTTAAGATGCAATTTGAATGTGCACTTAACTTTGTTGACAGTATTACAAAGACCCCGTGAAGTGTCCATGACTGATGGACATACAGATTTGGTGACTATTTCTTGGCTTGAACCGAAAGATGTGAAACCGACTTTATTGCTCAAATATACTGTATATTGGTGTCCCAGATCTCCTAGACAACTATGCCAGGTATGCTTGTTAAAATACAACATACACTGATTCACATAAACTGTTCTAAATACAAAAGAAACAATGGAATGATGAAATCATACAGTTCATAGTAGTAAAGTTAAGCATTTAATCTTGCTGTTAATCCTGCTGTTAATCTTGCTGTTAATCCTGCTGTTAATCCTGCTGTTAATCAATTGTATTATGTTTGTTTAATTCCATTTCAATCATTGTAGGGGTCTTTCAACTATAGAACAGTCATTTCGCCTATTTCGTATGAAGACGTATACTTGCGGACCACTGTCCGGATGGAAGGATATCCGAACGTCACGTATATGTACGGAGTGTCTACGGATATAAACATTACCGGAACAGTCGCCAGTAGTGGCTTTGTGTGGACGGATTGTTCAATGCTATCTACAGGTAAGACGACGAAAACAACAAAATTAAAGATTGCAATTGTTTGCATTTAAGTTCGAAATAAATGTCGGTAATAATGGAAATTGTAATTTTTATGTAACCGTCGATAAAACTTAAATTATTGTAGGGAAATACTTTATTTTACTTTGTAAGTTTTGACACGTATACAATCCACGTCAGAAGCGAGATATTTTCTCGTAGAGTAAAATAAGTCCGTTATCTGCGCACAATTTAACAAAGGATTAATATCGGTCGGTTTACGCAGACTCGTTAAAATACATTTGCAAATGTGCTAACCATATCGTTTATTTACGTGCAGATAAACTGAAAAATCCCAGGATATCTTTTGAAGGATATCCCTCCGAAAAAAGAGTAAGAGTCTCATGGATATACCTGAATTGTGCTCAAGCAATGATTAAAAAGGCTAACAGCGTACATTACGATGTTACAAGCTGCCCATCAGATAAGTGTGAAGGTAAGATCACTTTTTTACACTGCTTATCGGATAATTGTGACGCTAAGATAAATAATAATATAATAAATAATATATTACCTGTAACTGATCGAGATCGGTTTATCTCAATCGAGGGCTTATATTCTTTTACATAATCTTAACCGAGGCATGAACTGAAGTTTGGATGTAACAGAATCAGTAAGCCCAATACTTGAGAAAACCCAATCTTGCTCAGTAACAGCTAATTGGTTTCTTTTCTCGCACCTTTTGCTAAAAACTACAAGTATTCCGTTTGGGGCCTCAGAAGATGGCCTCTACACTGCTAAAACTACATTGAATGTGGGTAAACATGTAGTCCGTCCTTTAACAGAATACAACGTATTTCAAAGCGTAGATAATGTTTTATCTACAACATCGGATATCTTACAACATCAAAACGAAACATATAACGACACAACAGAATAATTATAATGCAGATTGTCACTTTCAAGTCATTACACGCGGATGAATACATCGCAGTGTAAAACTTCCGCGAAAAGTTCGTGTAAATGTACAAGATAGATCGGACGAGATAAAAAAAAATCTAGCATGGGGTATTAAGTGGAATATACCTGTCTGAGGTGCGAGAAAAACGTTGGTACTCTGCTCATAAGAAATGTGTGACGGTATGATAGCATTGGTACTCTGCTGGTCAGAAACTTGCGAAGGAAATATTGTGATGTTACTACATACATAAAATTGTGTAGCTGCTGCTCAGATACGTGGAACAGTAAAATTGCGATGTTACTAGCAGCTGATCAGATATTTGCGACAGTTTCAAAGCCGCAGATTATCTGTCCAGATTCAGACCGATGAAGCGACTGAAGAATAAGTTGTTATTATACATTGTAGTACATGTATGCTACATATACTGATACATTAATTTTACGTGCACAAATGATACCATTAATAACAGAAAACCTTGTCAAATAATGGCCGAATTGTGTTGAGCGACCCAACTGAAATGGCGCACAGCCTTATTTTCAAGCGTCATTAAAATATAGCGCCAAAGATTGCGACATCATATTTCCAACTGTTTTGACGTAGTAACCTTCTCGTTGTTGTTCAAATGTAACAAATACAATTTATGACAGATAAATTGGCATCTGACATAAGAGTAATATGAAAGAGCAGCTTCACCCGAATTCCAATCACAAAATCTATGGAATTTCTGTCTTTACCATAAACAAAGCTTGCTGACCCTGCGTACATACTTAGAAATGACAAAGAAACCATGACGGGTACCACATTTTTACCAATGTTGCAGTTGTGGCTGTTTCCGAGAATTGAACACGTTACGAGTTTCATAATGCATCTATGAAATGGGATGTGTGGGAAGTACATTTTTCAGTTCATTCTTAAGGTCTTGGATTCCAACTCCTTGGCCCTATATATATTACTTCCATTATGACGTCATGATATAACATGCAAGTGTGTGACATTATTTCATTATCAATTTACATATGTTTTGACATCCGTGTATTCACTAAATTGCACGGTAATCATGTGATAAAAGTGAATCTCATACAATACATGTATTTTATTAACCAACCAGAGCTAAGTACTGAGAGTAAAGAAGCCTATGTCGACTTACACTCAATCTCTGCCGGACAGGAGGTATGTGTGACCATTGCTGTACGCCTGGGTACAGTTTCTGGACCAACAAGTCGTGTATACTGCTATACCCAGTCCTTACAAGGTGAGGCTACCCACAGGTTAAGTTAACATCGCAACTATTCAATTGTTTTCATATAAAAAAAACCACATCGTATCTGTAAAATGCAAAATCATATCGTATCGTTTCAATCATATCATGATTCAGGCTATATTTTCCAAAAATCTGTAGGAGTTTCAGCTAATTTGCACGCATCTAAAATATAAAAGGTGTGACGCTTGTTACTTCATCTATCAATGTCAATTCATATATAAAACACGTGTGCCAGCTCTTACATCACGTGTAATAAGTCTTACATCACGTGTAACAAGTATAACATCACGTGTACCAAGTCCTACATCACGTGTTCCAAGTCTTACATCGCGTATAATAAGTCTTACATCACGTGTAATAAGTCTTACATCACGTGTTCCAAGTCTTACATCGCGTGTAATAAGTCTTACATCACGTGTAACAAGTATAACATCACGTGTACCAAGTCCTACATCACGTGTCCCAAGTCTTACATCACGTGTACCAAGTCCTACATCCCGTATCCCAAGTCTTACATCACGTGTAATAAGTCCTAAATCACGTGTTATAAGTCTTACATCACGTGTCCCAAGTCTTACATCACGTGTACCAAGTCCTACATCACGTGTTCCAAGTCTTACATCGCGTGTAACAAGGCTTACATCACGTGTAATAAGTCTTACATCACGTGTTCCAAGTCTTACATCGCGTGTAATAAGTCTTACATCCCGTGTAACAAGTATAACATCACGTGTACCAAGTCATACATCACGTGTTCCAAGTCTTACATCGCGTGTAATAAGTCTTACATCACGTGTAACAAGTCTTACATCACGTGTACCAAGTCCTACATCACGTGTCCCAAGTCTTACATCACGTGTACCAAGTCCTACATCACGTGTAACAAGTGTATCATCACGTGTAACAAGTGTAATATCACGTGGATTAAGTCTTACATCACATGTAATAAGTCTTACATCACATGTACTAAGTCTTACATTACGTGTAACAAGTCTTACATCACATGTAATAAGTCTTACATCACTCGTGACAAGCCTAACATCACATGTAACAAGTCTTACATCACATATAACAAGTCTTACATAACGTGTAACAAGTCTTACATCGCATGTAACAAGTCTTACATCACATGTAACAAGTCTTACATAACGTGTAACAAGTCTTACATCGCATGTAATAAGTCTTACATTACATGTAACAAGTCTTACATCACATGTAATAAGTCTTACATCACTCGTGACAAGCCTAACATCACATGTAACAAGTCTTACATCACATATAACAAGTCTTACATAACGTGTAACAAGTCTACCATCACATGTAACAAGTCTTACATCACATATAACAAGTCTTACATAACGTGTAACAAGTCTTGAATCGCATGTAATAAGTCTTACATCACATGTAACAAGTCTTACATTACGTGTAACAAGTCTTACATCACATGTAATAAGTCTAACATCACATGTAACAAGTCTTACATCACATGTAACAAGTCTTACATCACATGTAACAAGTCTTACATCACATGTAACAAGTCTAACATCACATGTAACAAGTCTTACATCACATGTAACAAGTCTAACATCACATGTAACAAGTCTTACATCACATGTAACAAGTCTTACATTACGTGTAACAAGTCTTACATCACATGTAATAAGTCTTACATCACATGTAACACGTCTTACATTACATGTAACAAGTCTAACATCACATGTAACAAGTCTTACATCACATGTAACAAGTCTAACATCACATGTAACAAGTCTTACATCACATGTAACAAGTCTAACATCACATGTAACAAGTCTTACATCACATGTAACAAGTCTAACATCACATGTAACAAGTCTTACATCACATGTAACAAGTCTAACATCACATGTAACAAGTCTTACATCACATGTAACAAGTCTTACATTACGTGTAACAAGTCTTACATCACATGTAATAAGTCTTACATCACATGTAACAAGTCTTACATCACATGTATCAAGTCTTACATTACGTGTAACAAGTCTTACATCACTCGTGACAAGTCTAACATCACATGTAACAAGTCTTACATCACATGTAACAAGTCTAACATCACATGTAACAAGTCTTACATCACATGTAACAAGTCTAACATCACATGTAACAAGTCTTACATCACATGTAACAAGTCTAACATCACATGTAACAAGTCTTACATCACATGTAACAAGTCTAACATCACATGTAACAAGTCTTACATCACATGTAACAAGTCTTACATTACGTGTAACAAGTCTTACATCACATGTAATAAGTCTAACATCACATGTAACAAGTCTTACATCACATGTAACAAGTCTTACATTACGTGTAACAAGTCTTACATCACTTGTAACAAGTCTAACATCACATGTAACAAGTCTTACATCACATGTAACAAGTCTTACATTACGTGTAACAAGTCTTACATCACATGTAATAAGTCTTACATCACATGTAACAAGTCTTACATTACGTGTAACAAGTCTTACATCACATGTAACAAGTCTTACATCACATGTAACAAGTCTAACATCACATGTAATGAGTCTTACATCACATGTAAGAAGTCTTACATCACATGTAACAAGTCTAACATCACTTGTAACAAGTTTTACATCACATGTAACAAGTCTTACATCACATGTCTCAAGTGTATCATCACGTGTAACAAGTGTAATATCACGTGGACCAAGTCTTACATCACGTGTAACAAGTGTAACATCACGTATAACAAGTCTTACATCACGTGTACCAAGTCTTACATCGCTTGTAACATGTCTTACATCACTCGTGACAAGTCTGTCTTTCATCACGTGTAACACGTCTCATATGATGTTAAAAACCGCCAGACCTATTTACAGCTAGGCACAGTGTTGGTAAAGGTATTTTTAATTTATCATACAATGTTTTGGTACAAATGCATAGATATGATGAATTGGTTTCTTTTGTTGTTTACACTTTGTAATTGTATTTTTTTATTCTTGAAGAATTTCGAAATGTTTGGTCATGTTTATTTTAAGCTATTCTTTGCTTGTTGTTCTTGCATTTTTAATCCTTGCCATTCTGAAAAACTGTCAATTCGTTCATTAGCATATAATTCAAAACCAATGCGTCACGTTTAATACGATCATTGTTTGTGCATTAAGTAAAACTAAGATAGCAACATTGCAAATGGTTTTATCTACATGAACGATCTTACTACTCTGTTTTATATCTTCATCTTAATTATGGTACGTTTTATGTATTATTCGCTCAATACTGCATATGCAAAACCCATAGACAAATTTATTTTTATCTGATAACATTGTATTGTTGTCGTGTTGTTCTGATTACATTGTGTTGTTGTCGTGTTGTTACTGATTACATTGTGTTGTTGTCGTGTTGTTACTGATTACATTGTGTTGTTGTCGTGTTGTTACTGATTACATTGTGTTGGTGTCGTGTTGTTACTGATTACATTGTGTTGTTGTCGTGTGGTTACTGATTACATTGTGTTGTTGTCGTGTTGTTAATCGGCAAAGCAGTACTATTAAACTATTTCAAAAATATAAATCATATTATAATGTTTCACACACTTGTTATATGATAATACTTGTACTGTAGATAGCTGTCATTACATATACTACTAAGGTTATGTAAGGGATTCCAGGTAGTTGTTTACTTCACCGTGTTACTTTATATCTACAGGTACCCAGTATCCTCTGCATGCTGTGCTTGTTTCCCTTGTCATCATATCAGGTGCTGTTGTAGTCGCAATAGTAGGGACTATCTTATAGTAAGTTTCCACGAGCAATGTACGGTATATGTTGGGATTCATGACGTCGTACCGTTTGTTTGGGTTCTCTCTCATTCCCTTGTTATCTTGTTTTCAACTTTGTGTTTTGATTTTATTCCTATGTTATTATACTATTCCAAGTATTTATTTTTCATTTTTTATCCATAATAGTGTCGCCTTCAAATGGTGGACGAAGCCGACTAAATGTAGTATACCAAAGGTGAGCTATTTACAAGATTTAAATTGGTCATTCGATGATTCTAATGCTTCATTTATTTCTTCAAAGTTACACCATGAAACTCGTTTAACATTAGCCTTGAAATGAGTTTAAACATGTCTGTTTAATTTAATCTCCTTAAGTTGATGTTATTATGTTCTAGAGAGCATCAATCAAAGCCTTACCATGTACTCTTTTTTTCCATTTCCCCCAAAAACCATTACTGCTAGTGTCCTGTTATGGTGTATGGAACTAATGTTTTGTTTTCTTTAAAAGAACGAGTCCTAATGCTATATCTTACCTGTCTGCAAAATATGACGTAATGTTAATGTTTAAAACATACCAAGTTCAACTAGCCTTTATTGTAAGGAAGATTCTTGCACATTGTTTTTATTTGATTTGTTAATACAGGTAGCTGTTTGTTAATATGATTTGGTAATACAGGTAGCTGTTTGTTAATATGATTTGGTAATACAGGTAGCTGTTTGTTAATATGATTTGGTAATACAGGTAGCTGTTTGTTAATATGATTTGATAATACAGGTAGCTGTTTGGTAATACAGGTAACTGTATGTAATATGATTTGGTAATACAGGTAGCTGTTTGTTAATATGATTTGGTAATACAGGTAACTGTTTGGTAATACAGGTAGATGTTTGTTAATATGATTTGGTTATACAGGTAACTGTTTGTTAATATGATTTGGTAATACAGGTAACTGTTTGCTAATATGATTTGGTAATACATTTAGCTGTTTGTTAATATGATTTGGTAATACAGGTACATGTAGCTGTTTGTTAATATGATTTGGTAATACAGGTAACTGTTTGTCAATATGATTTGTTAATATAGGTAGCTGTTTGTTAATATGATTTGGTAATACAGGCAACTGTTTTTTAATATGATTTGGTAATACAGGTAGCTGTTTGGTAATACAGGTAACTGTTTGGTAATACAGGTAGATGTTTGTTAATATGATTTGGTTATACAGGTAACTGTTTGTTAATATGATTTGGTAATACAGGTAACTGTTTATTAATATGATTTGGTAATACAGGTAGCTGTTTGCTAATATGTTTTGGTAATACAGGTAACTGTTTATTAATATGATTTGGTAATACAGGTAGCTGTTTGGTAATACAGGAAGCTGTTTGTTTGTATGATTTGGTAATACAGGTAGCTGTTTGTTAATATGTTTTGGTAATACAGGTAACTGTTTGTTAATATGAAATGGTAATACAGGTAGCAATTTGCTTATATGATTTGGTAATACAGGCAACTGTTTGTTAATATGATTTGTTAATACAGGTAGCTGTTTGTTAATATGATTTGGTCATACAGGTAACTGTTTGTTAATATGATTTGGTAATACAGGTAACTGTTTGCTAATATGATTTGGTAATACATTTAGCTGTTTGTTAATATGATTTGGTAATACAGGTAACTGTTTGCTAATATGATTTGGTAATACATTTAGCTGTTTGTTAATATGATTTGGTAATACAGGTAACCGTTTGTTAATATGATTTGTTAATATAGGTAGCTGTTTGTTAATATGATTTGGTAATACAGGTACATGTAGCTGTTTGTTAATATGATTTGGTAATACAGGTAACTGTTTGTTTATATGATTTGGTAATACAGGTAGCTGTTTGGTAATACAGGTAGCTATTTGTTTATATGATTTTGTAATACAGGTAGCTGGTTGTTAATACAGGTAGACGTTTGTTAATACAGCTAGATGTTTGTTAACACCGGTAGCTGTTTGTTAATACAGGTATATGTTTGTTAATACAGATAGATGTTTGTTAATACAGGTAGCTGTTTGTTATATAGGTAGCTGTTTGTTAATATGCCATGAACATATAAATACCGGTCTTTATCTTTTTTTTCTTCTTTCTCTTTTTTGCTTTCTTACCAGCTTCCTTTTCTTTCCTTTTATCCTTTCTTCTTTCTTATAGCAATACAGTGTGATATTAAATGAAATAATTCCTATCCATATGCAGCTTTTAGTGATACAAATTTCTTTTGGCATAATTTGTATGGTATGAGTGGTGATATGAAAGATTATTGGTGACAAACAGGTTATTATATGATCTGAATGAATTACTGATCCATTATTATTGTCACTGTATTGAAAAAAAATACGCCATAAAAATATATATACCGGTCAACTGTACAAAACAACGTTCTTAGATATATGAGTCCAACAAATGACCGGATGTATTGGTAATGCCACTTTTTTATCTCTCTCATGAGGAATCATTGAATCTGCTTCAATGAATACAATTAATAACTTTGAATCAATTGCATCTAAAGAAGACACACACGCGCACAAAACAGACAGCGTAGAACGAGTTTAACTGATTGTTACATCTTAGAAATTAGATAAATATATTAAACAGTATTGTCTTGATTAGCATTAGCAGTTAAACATTCTCGATATTACATACTCCATTGCCTTTTTAGTTTCAATATTGCTTCTGTTTAAGTGTGGGGATAATTGTACCATTTGTATGTGAACAGATACCTACAGGGGGTAATGACAGTGAACAGACAACTACAGGAGATCTGGTTCAACCATTAGTTGGAGTAAGTTTGCCTATCATTGTATAACTCTTGTGTAAGGAGCACGTGATAAAAAAGAACCTGCACGAGTTCACAGTCATAGCACTCGTAGTTATACTTTGACAGGTTATCATAGTTTATTGATATTTAAATTATCTTACCAGAATTCTTAATTTTCAAAAAGATTTGTCATCGAGTGTTGCTCCTTAGACGGGTGTTTACCTGTTAACTGCTCTTAGGGTGCACGTTAACATATAAACCCAGGAACTGTGTGACATCAATAACCTTAGACTAGTAGAAATGTATAGGTAACATTGAGCTACTTTGTTTTTTGTTCAGTGGTACATTGTACTTAGGAATGTTTATTTTTTTCAGTTCTTTGATAAGTTAAATTTTGCCTATCGAGGGAAATATTAATAAAGGGATTCTGAACTTATATATATTTCACCATAACATACAGACATGAACCCGAATTATATATTTCACAATCTCTTTGATCCAGAACGGCAGTGCAGTATCTACAGGTCGAACGACTGTGACTACGGAGACGGCCCTAATAGTCAACGACTGATACACAAATCCCAGTTATTACATGTATGGTTTTAAATTTTGTCAAACGTTATCATGTACCTAGCTATATAAATCAAAACGTCACTGATCACTTGTCGTATACTTAGTCTGTAATGTCGCCCTAAGTGTTTTTTTCCATAAGTATTATCATAATTGAAGAAAAAGAAAAAAAAAATGATTTCAACTACACCGAAATTTGTCAATCACTACCACCTGTGTGTACAGTGATACATGTTTATGTCCAAAGCTAACAAAGGTGTGCCCAATTTTGATCAATAGCATTTTTCATATTATTAATAATGGCACCTTACACATAATGTTTTTGGTAAAACAGTTTTTATATTGGAACAAACATTATTGTACAGTAAATATGTAATTGATTTATTTTCATTAAAAAACTGCAATTGTTCACAAGATCACTTCTCCGATCTAAAACATCTATCAAGGTAACTTTCCTAGCTATCATAAAGTTACCTCTCCTTAAAATCACATTTACTAAGGTAACTTTCTTCGTTATCACAAAGTTACCCCTCCTTAGTATCTCATCTATCAATGTAACTTTCTTCGTTATCACAAAGTTACCTCTTCTTAGTATCTCATCTATCAAGGTAACTTTCTTAGTTATCACAAAGCTACCCCTCCTTAGTATCTCATCTATCAAGATAACTATCTTAGTTATCACAAAGTTACCTCTCCTTAGTATCTCATCTATCAAGGTAACTTTCTTCGTTATCACAAAGTTACCCCTCCTTAGTATCTTATTTAGCAAGGTAATGTGACCTTGTTATCACAAAGTACCCCTCCTTAGTATCTTTTTTAGCAAGGTAATGTGACCTTGTTTTCACGAAATTAACCCTCCTTAGTATCTTATTCAGCAAGGTAATGTGACCTTGTTATTATAAAGTTACCCCTCCTTAGTATCTTATTTAGCAAGGTAATGTGACCTTGTTATCACAAAGTACCCCTCCTTAGTATCTTTTTTAGCAAGGTAATGTGACCTTGTTTTCACGAAATTAACCCTCCCTAGTATCTTATTAAGCAAGGTAATGTGACCTTGTTATTATAAAGTTTCCCCTCCTTAGTATCTTATCTATCAACATAAACTTCTTAGTTATTACAAAGATACGCCTCCTTAGTATCTCATTTATCAAGGTCACTTTCTTTGTTATCACAAAGTACCCCCCCGTTAGTATCTTTTTTAGCAAGGGAATGTGACCTTGTTTTCACGAAATTAACCCTTCTTAGTATCTCTTTTAGCAAGCTAACGTGACCTTGTTATCATGAAGTTAACCCTACTTGGTATCTTATTTGGCAAGGAAATGTGACCTTGTTTTCACGAAATTAACCCTCCTTAGTATCTTATTTAGCAAGGTAATATGACCTTGTTATCACGAAGTTACCCCTCCTTAGTATATTATTTAGCTATCACGAAGTAACCGTCCTTAGTATCTTATTTAGCAAGGTAATATGACCTTGTTATCACGAAGTTACCCCTCCTTAGTATATTATTTAGCTATCACGAAGTAACCGTCCTTAGTATCTTATTAAGCAAGGTAATGTGACCTTGTTATTATCAAGTTACCCCTCCTTGGTATCTCATCTATCAAGGGAACTATCTTAGTTATCACCAAGTACCCCTCCTTAGTATATTATTTAGCTATCACGAAGTAACCGTCCTTAGTATCTTATTTAGCAAGGTAATGTGACCTTGGTTTCACGAAATTAACCATCCTTAGTATCTTATTTAGCAAGGTAATGTTACCTTATTTTCACGAAATTAACCCTCCCTAGTATCTTATTAAGCAAGGTAATGTGACCTTGTTATTATAAAGTTACCCCTCCCTAGTATCTTATTCAGCAAGGTAATGTGACCTTGGTTTCACGAAATTAACCATCCTTAGTATCTTATTAAGCAAGGAAATGTGACCTTGTTATCACGAAGTTACCCCTCCTTAGTATCTCATCTAGTTATCACCCGTCAATGTTACCTCTACTAGTTATCACCCATCAATGTTACATCTCCTAGTTACTACACCCATCAATGTTACATCTCCTAGTTACTACACCCATCAATGCTACCTCTCCTAGTTATCACCCGTCAATGTTACCTCTACTAGTTATCATACCCATCAATGTTACTACTAGTTGTAACACTCGTCAATGTTACCTCTACTAGTCATCAAACCCATCAATGTTACCTCTACTAGTTATCACCCCCATCAATGTTACCACTACTAGTTATCAGACACATCAATGTTACCTCTACTAGTTATCACCCCCATCAATGTTACCTGTCCTAGTTATCAGCCCCATCAATGTTACCTGTCCTAGTTATCAGCCCCATCAATGTTACCTCTACTAGTTATCACCCCCATCAATGTTACCTCTACTAGTTATCACGCCCTCAATGTTACCACTCCTAGTTATCACCCATCAAAGTTACCTCTCCTTAGTATCTCATTTATCAAGGTCACTTTCTTTGTTATCACAAAGTCCCCCTCCTTAGTATCTTATTTAGCAAGGTAATGTGACCTTGGTTTCACGAAATTAACCCTCCCTAGTATCTTATTAAGCAAGGTAATGTGACCTTGGTTTCACGAAATTAACCCTCCTTAGTATCTCATCTAGTTATCACCCGTCAATGTTACCTCTACTAGTTATCACCCCCATCAATGTTACCACTACTAGTTATCACACCCAGCAATGTTACCACTCCTAGTTATCACCCATCAATGTTACCTCTACTAGTCATCAAACCCATCAATGTTACCACTCCTAGTTATCACCCGTCAATGTTACCTCTACTAGTTATAACACCCATTACTGTTATCCCCCCTAGATATCATACCAATCAAAGTGACCTCAACTAGATATCATACACATTTATGTTATATCTCCTAGTTATCACAACCATCAATGTTACCACTACTAGTTATCACACCCTCAATGTTACCACTCCTAGTTATCAGATACATCAATGTTACCTCTACTAGTTATCACCCCCATCAATGTTACCTCACAAAGTTACCCCTCCTTAGTATCTCATCTAGTTATCACCCGTCAATGTTACCTCTCCAAGTTATCAGACCCATCAATGTTACCTCTCCTAGTTATAACACCCATCAATGTTACCACTACTAGTTATAACACCCATCAATGTTACCTCTACTAGTTACTACACCCATCAATGCTACATCTACTAGTTACTACACCCATCAATGTTACCTTTTCTAGTTATCACACCCATCAATGTTACCTCTCCTAGTTATCACCCGTCAATGTTACCTCTACTTGCTATCACACCCATGAATGTTACCACTACTAGTTATCAGACACATCAATGTTACCTCTCCTAGTTATCAGACCCATCAATGTTACCTCTTCTAGTTACTACACCCATCAATGTTACCACTACTAGTTATCAGACCCATCAATGCTACCTCTCCTAGTTATCAGACCCATCAAGGTTACCTCTACTAGTCATCACACCCATCAATGTTATCTCTACTAGTTATAACACTCGTCAATGTTACCTCTCCTAGTTATCAGATACATCAATGTTACCTCTACTAGTTATCATACCCATCAATGTTACCTCTCCTAGTTATCACACCCATCAATGTTACCTCTCCTAGTAAGAACACCCATCAATGTTACCTCTCCTAGTTATCACCCGTCAATATTACCTCTCCAAGTTATCAGACCCATCAATGTTACCTCTACTAGTTATAAAACCCATCAATGTTACCTCTACTAGTTATCACCCGTCAATGTTATCTATTCTAGTTATCATCCATCAATGTTACCTCTACTAGTTATCACCCGTCAATGTTACCTCTCCTAGTTATAACACCCATCAATGTTACCTCTACTAGTTATCACCCATCAATGTTACCTCTACTAGTTATAAGACCCATCAATGTTACCTCTACTAGTTATAACACCCATCAATGTTACCACTACTAGTTATCAGACCCATCAATGTTACCTCTCCTAGTTATTACACCCATCAATGTTACCACTACTAGTTATCACACCCATCAATGTTACCTCTCCTAGTTATCAGACCCATCAATGTTACATCTCCTAGTTACTACACCCATCAATGTTACCACTACTAGTTATCAGACCCATCAATGTTACCTCTTCTTGTTATCAGACCCATCAATGTTACCTCTCCTAGTTACTACACCCATCAATGTTACCACTACTAGTTACTACACCCATCAATGTTACCTCTCCTAATTATAACACCCATCAATGTTACCACTAATAGTTATCAGACCCATCAATATTACCTCTACTAGTTTTCACACCCATCAATGTTACCTCTACTAGTTATCACACCCATCAATGTTACCTCCTCTAGTTATCACACCCATCAATGCTACCTCTCCTAGTTATAACACCCATCAATGTTACCTCTCCTAGTTATCACCCGTCAAAGTTACCTCTACTAGTTATCACACTCATCAATGTTACCACTACTAGTTATCAGACCCATCAATGTTACCTCTCCTAGTTATCAGACCCATCAATGTTACCTCTTCTAGTTACTACACCCATCAATGTTACCACTACTAGTTATCAGACCCATCAATATTACCTCTCCTAGTTATCAGACCCATCAATGTTACCTCTACTAGTTATAACACTCGTCAATGTTACCTCTCCTAGTTATCAGACACATCAATGTTACCTCTACTAGTTATCACACCCATCAATGTTACCTCTCCTAGTTATCACACCCATCAATGTTACCTCTCCTAGTTATAACACCCATCAATGTTACCTCTCCTAGTTATCACCCGTCAATGTTACCTCTCCTAGTTATCAGACCAAACAATGTTACCTCTACTAGTTATCAGACCAATCAAAGTTACCTCTACTAATTATCATCCGTCAATGTTACCACTCCTAGTTATCACCCATCAATGTTACCACTCCTAGTTATCACCCATCAATGTTACCTCTCCTAGTTATCACCCATCAATATTACCACTTCTAGTTATCACCCATCAAAGTTGCCTCTCCTAGTTATCAACCATCAATGTTACATTCCTAGTTATCACCCATCAATGTTACCACTCCTAGTTATCACCCATCAATATTACCACTTCTAGTTATCACCCATCAAAGTTACCTCTCCTAGTTATCAACCATCAATGTTACATTCCTAGTTATCACCCATCATTGTTACCACTCCTAGTTATCACCCATAAATGTTGCCTCTCGTAGTTATCACCCATCAATGTTACCTCTCGTAGTTATCACCCATCAAAATACCACTCCTAGCTATCACCCATCAATGTTACCTCTCGTAGTTATCACCCATCAATGTTATCTATCCTAGTTATCACCCATCAATGTTACCACTCCTAGTTATCACCTATCAATGTTACCACTCCTAGTTATCACCTATCAATGCTACCACTCCTAGTTATCACCCATCAATGTTACCCCTCCTAGTTATCACCTATCAATGCTACCTCTCCTAGTTATCACCCATCAATGTTACCCCTCCTAGTTATCACCCGTCAATGTTATCTATCCTAGTTATCACCCATCAATGTTTCCACTCCTAGTTATCACCCATCAATGTTACCCCTCCTAGTTATCACCCGTCAATGTTATCTATCCTAGTTATCACCCATCAATGTTACCTCCCGTAGTTATCACCCATCAATGTTACCTCTACTAATTATCAGACGCATCAATGTTACCTCACCTAGTTATCACACCCTCAATGTTACCTCTACTAGTTATCAAACCCATCAATGTTACCTTTCATAGTTATCACCCGGCAATGTTACCTCTACTAGTTATCACACCCATCAATGTTATCTCTCCTAGCCATTACACCCATCAATGTTACCTCTCTTAGTTATCAGAACAATCAATGTTACCTCTCCTAGTTATCACATCCATCAATGTAACCTCTCCTAGTAATCAAACCAATCAATGTTACCTCCCCTATTTATCACACCCATCAATGTTACCTCTCCTAGTTATCAGACCAAACAATGTTACCTCTACTAGTTGTAACACTCGTCAATGTTACCTCTACTAGTTATCACACCCATCAATGTCACCTCTCCTAGTTATCAAACCTATCAATGTAACCTCCCCTAGATATCAGACCCGTCAATGTTACTTCTCCTAGTTATCACACCAACAATGTTACCTCTCCTAGTTATCACAACCATCAATGTTACCACTCCTAGTTATCACACCCATCAATGTTACCTCTCCTAGTTATCACACCCATCAATGCTACCTCTCCTAGTTATCTCACCCATCAATGTTACCTCTCCTAGTTATCACCCAGCAATGTTACCTCTTCTAGTTATAAAACCCTTCAATGTCACCTCTCCTAGTTATCAAACCTACCAATGTAACCTCCCCTAGATATCAGACCCATCAATGTTACCTCTCCTAGTTATCACACCCATCAATGTTACCTCTCCTAGTTATCACCCATCAATGTTACCTCTCCTAGTTATCACCCGTCAATGTTACCTCTCCTAGTTATCACCCGTCAATGTTACCTCTTCTAGTTATCACACCCATCAATGTTACCTCTCCTAGCCATCACACACATCAATGTTACCACTCCTAGTTATCAGACCCATCAATGTTACCATCTCACCCATCAATGTTACCTCTCCTAGTTATCACCCTTCAATGTTACCTCTCCTAGTTATCACCCGTCAATGTTACCTCTTCTAGTTATCACCCATCAATGTTACCACTCCTAGTTATCACACCCATCAATGCTACCTCTCCTAGTTATCTCGCCCATCAATGTTACCTCTCCTAGTTATCACCCAGCAATGTTACCTCTTCTAGTTATAAAACCCATCAATGTTACCTCTCCTAGTTATCCCCCGTCAATGTTACCTCTCCTAGTTATCACCATTCAATGTTACCTCTCCTAGTTATCACCCGTCAATGTTACCTCTTCTAGTTATCACACCCATCAATGTTACCTCTCCTAGTTATCAGACCAATCAATGTTACCTCTCCTAGTTATCACACCATCAATGTTACCTCTCTTAGTTATCACAACCATCAATGTTACCACTCCTAGTTATCACACCCATCAATGCTACCTCTCCTAGTTATCTCGCCCATCAATGTTACCTCTCCTAGTTATCACCCAGCAATGTTACCTCTTCTAGTTATAAAACCCATCAATGTTACCTCTCCTAGTTATCACACCATCAATGTTACCTCTCTTAGTTATCACAACCATCAATGTTACCACTCCTAGTTATCACACCCATCAATGCTACCTCTCCTAGTTATCTCGCCCATCAATGTTACCTCTCCTAGTTTTCACCCAGCAATGTTACCTCTTCTAGTTATAAAACCCTTCAATGTCACCTCTCCTAGTTATCAAACCTACCAATGTAACCTCCCCTAGATATCCGACCCATCAATGTTACCTCTCCTAGTTATCACACCATCAATGTTACCTCTCTTAGTTATCACAACCATCAATGTTACCACTCCTAGTTATCACACCCATCAATGCTACCTCTCCTAGTTATCTCGCCCATCAATGTTACCTCTCCTAGTTATCCCCCGTCAATGTTACCTCTCCTAGTTATCACCCATCAATGTTACCTCCATCAATGTTACCTCTCCTAGTTATCACCCAGCAATGTTACCTCTTCTAGTTATAAAACCCATCAATGTTACCTCTCCTAGTTATCACCCATCAATGTTACCTCCATCAATGTTACCTCTCCTAGTTATCACCCTTCAATGTTACCTCTCCTAGTTATCACCCGTCAATGTTACCTCTTCTAGTTATCACACCCATCAATGTTACCTCTCCTAGTTACCACTCCTAGTTATCACACCCATCAATGTTACCTCTCCTAGCCATCACACACATCAATGTTACCACTCCTAGTTATCAGACCCGTCAATGTTACCTCTCCTAGCTATAACCCATCAATGTTACCTCTTCTAGTTATCACCCGTCAATGTTACCTCTTCTAGTTATCACACCCATCAATGTTACCTCTCCTAGCCATCACACACATCAATGTTACCACTCCTAGTTATCAGACCCGTCAATGTTACCTCTCCTAGCTATCACCCATCAATGTTACCTCTTCTAGTTATCACCCGTCAATGTTACCTCTTCTAGTTATCACACCCATCAATGTTACCTCTCCTAGCCATCACACCCATCAATGTTACCACTCCTAGTTATCAGACCCATCAATGTTACCTCTCCTAGTTATCACCCGTCAATGTTACCTCTCCTAGTTATCACCCATCAATGTTACCACTCCTAGTTATCACCCATCAATGCTACCACTCCTAGTTATCACCCGTCAATGTTACCTCTCCTAGTTATCACCCATCAATGTTACCACTCCTAGTTATCAGACCCATCAATGTTACCACTCCTAGTTATCACACCCATCAATGTTACCACTCCTAGTTATCACACCCATCAATGTTACCACTCTTAGCTATCACACCCATCAATGTTACCTCTCCTAGTTATCACACCCATCAATGTTACCTCTCCTAGTTATCAGACCAATCAATATTAGCTCTCCTATTTATCACACCCATCAATGTTACCTCTCCTAGTTATCAGACCAATCAATGTTACCTCTCCTAGTTATCACACCCATCAATGTTACCAGTCCTAGCCATCACACCCATCATTGTTACCACTCCTAGTTATCACCCGTCAATGTTACCTCTCCTTTGTATCACATTCAGTCCCTTTGTTAGTATTGAGGATTTAAGTATGTTTCGTTGTACACTCATTTCTGGATATTTGTTATATGTTGTAGTGTGTTTAAACATATCCCATAACTTTAAAATTATCTGCAGTATCTTGTTTACTTCATGTAGTAGTATATAATAGCAAAAAGTGATGCATATTTACTGCACTAAATAAAATAAATACTTTTTATGATGTATAAAAGAGGTTAATATGTTAATATTTGAAATCTTTTTGACACTCTCAAATATTGACGCCTTAAAATCATATCTGTGTTGGCCATATTGTACAGTATATGTCTATGATCGATTTGGTAATCGTGGTTTACATTTGTATAGTTTTAAAATGACATACTGTCCTCAATATGTATAATACATTAAGGTGCAAAGCGGTCGTTATGTCCGTCTATGTCAAATTTCATATTTTTGTAATAATGATTCATTATTGTAAGAACATATGTTTGCTTATAATATAGGAAATATCTATTTTGTTTATAAATATTTGTAAATTTGTTTACATGATAGTAAAAAAAAGTCTATTCAAGGCCCTTGTAATATTATATGCATTTGTACAATAATGTTAAAAATCACTTTTTTGTGTGATTGAAAGATTACACAACATTCAATATTTGACCTACACTGTTCGACTGGACTGTTTTACAGTCCCGGTTCCCGATACATATGTTATTATATCGTGTAGACTATAATTTTATTACAGTTAGTGTGACAGGTTGTTATCGAGAGTTATTTACAAATACGTTTTAACCGTCAGCCAATTCCCCTACTGTTTAAGAGGATCGGTAAATGCATTTTGATTTAAGGCAAACAAGCACTTTGCAGCATAAGTTATTTTAAAGCATAGCTTTTTCACAGAACTTTTCTTCACAACTGGCTTCGGTATCACAGACGCACAAGCTGACTTTGTCTCCGAACTCAAGGTCAGCGTCCTTGAATCGTTATCACCAACAACAAAAAAACAATAATTAGACATTGTCTTTCCTACTAGATTAATATACACGCACATGTAAAACAGGGTATCTGGCTTTTTTAATTAGATATTCGTGTTGTTTGTACAATAAGCCTATATATCGTGGTTTGTGTGTGTTAAGTTAGATTTTGCGTCATGCTCCGTGATAATAATGACAACCTAGATAATATTTCGTTTAAACAACAGATATTTTATTACGTTGACATGAAATTGTTAGTAATTTCTTTCCTGATTTTAGTTGTCAGCAGTCAGACAATGACAAGATCGGAATATTTTACCACATATATCATATGCTAAAGAATGCCTTACAACGAAAAATGTATTTTAAATAATCTGTACGCACTTATTCTGTGGTATATTGGGAATCTCTAACTGTACATGTTCATAATGTATATATCAAACAGATTTTCATTATTTTTTTCTGAGAAAATGTCAATACATAATTTATTCTATGACCTTTTGTTATTTTGTTTATGATTACTGTTTAGTTGGTGGTATGTTCGCAGTCACAAAAGACAGCGAGAAATAAAACAGCCAGTGAACAAAAACACCATAAATCATAAAACTCTGGGACTATATTTGCCGGTTCCCCGATCGGACGTGAAAATAAAAAGGTACGGAGTTACCCACCCGACCNCCACCCCCGTCCCCTGTTCTGTTTTAAACATGATATTGGTTAATTGGGACTATGTTTTTTGGTGCAGATATTTTTCCAATACGCATACGAAGATCCCTTTGATTAACCATGGCAACGAAATTGCGTTGCTATGCAGAAATAGTAAAAATATGGTGTTTTTGTACATTTAGCTTGCAGAAATGAAAGCCACTGCATGTGACAAACAAAAATCCCCTTCTACGAATAAACACTGGTACATGTATGACAATGTTCAAGCATGTCAAATATTTATTTGTTTGTTGCATGCAGAGGCTGTGTTTAGTTAAATTCCTTCAAAATGGCAAATCTTCAACCAAATAGCGCACACCAAACGACATCCAGTCATTTTATTATGAAAATGCGGGTTTATTTCTCTCTTTGTCCTGCCATATTTCCTTAACTAGTTGTCTGCTGAATTTGAAAGTTCATATTTGCATGTAGCAACTAATTCAAAATCCCCATTAAGGCCGGAAATGACCCTTAAACTACAATGTACCTGTATTCGCGACAACCGCGAAACATAAACCCGTTTTTGCCGTAAGAAGTATGACTACATCTATTTTGTATGTGACGCTCGGGCACTAAAATCATTCTACAGGACAGAGCTATACTGTAAAAATAAGATTTCTACCACTATTGCCCGTGTTTATCAACTCTCAGACGCTTGATTATCTGCACTTCCGGTTGATTAACAAGCTATACAGTTGATTAACACGCTACGCAGTTGATTTACACCGTCCGGCATTTTGATTGGCTGAAAAAATGCACTTTGACCCCGCACTACTTTTGAATCTGAACTGTCGACTATCAGCATCAACATGGCCGGTTACCATTGCTGCCGCTGGTACAGATAGATGATCGGATGAAGCATTGGGGGGGGGAGAGAAGGGTGAAGTTTTTGATATTTCAAATAACCTGGGTTTCCGTAGTTTTGAAATCAGACTGGAGTCCAGCGGTAAGATGGTCACCCAGGCCAGGTACAGATTCGATATAATCCCTGGGCGGGTCATCCCACCGGAATGCCCCTCCCCAGACCCTCCCCCAGACCATAACAAAGTTAGGCTCCGCCTCTTCTCGTCAAGAAGAATGCCCCATTCTGCCAATTCCCCCATCAAAAACGCCAAAAAATCTACCAGATTCTGATGACGATCTCATCAACATTGAAACAGATAAATTCATTAAAGATAAACAAAACAGGAACACACAGAAAAGACCGAATCTGACATGAACAAACTGTCAGAATTTCTCTGCCAAAACCTTAAGGAGTAATTTAAGGCATTTCAAAAAGTGACAGAAGTCATCAAAACAAAACAAACACAAATTGAAAAGGGGTGGGGAAGGGAAATTTAGAAAATAAAGCTGATCCTATTTCTGATGAAGACATCAACAAATTATACAAAACAAAGCAGTTGGGTAATGACAATCCTGAATCCCTCTTACGAACCGTCTGGTTCAACAACACCATACATTTCGGAATGCGGAGCATTACAGAACATCACGAAATGAAATGGGGTGATGTGGGCGTGTGTAACGACTCGGGAAATGACCAAAACCAGACCAGGTTCCAACCCAAGAAATGTTAGGGCACTACCCCCATGGACATGGTCTACTTCCGAAAACCCCTCCCGCTGTCCCGTGGTCGCCTTCAACCTATACAAACAACACCGGCCAGTGACATATTGCTTAGACGACCGTCCATTTTATAAATCAGCCAACAGCAACATGTTAAAATCCCAAAAGTGGTATAAAGCACAACCAGTCGGCGTAAACAAACTGGGAACATTCATGTCGACTATGGCAAAAATGCAGGTATGCACAAATGCACAACCTATATAGACCTTCAACTCATAACTTACATACAAATAGGCTTAAAAGAGTCGAAAAGTGTCTATACATCGATTCAAATTCCGCGATTCATTCAATTTCAAGCACAAGCCGGCAGTTGCCAACATTGAATTTAACTTTCATGTCTGACGGGGTCAAAATCTGGATCGACTGCTGCGCCCGCAAAAAGACTAATAAACCATAGCGCACAAAACTAATTAGGCGTTTTAATTTTTATATGACGTAGAAAGCCATGATGTATTATCTAGATAGAATTGTTAATGGAAAAACAAAGTATAAAGTTTTTGATGCATAATGATAAATGAGATAATAGTTGAGTAGGTTTGTTATATCTTGTTCATACTATTATATTGCCTTTCTGTCACATTATTTAAATTTGTACTTTTTACTCATAAACAGTATTAGTAGCAATGACCTGTGCACATAAATGCACATGGACTTTTGGTCAAAGTCTGCTCTTACTGTACATATGATATACTGACTGTGGCTATGCTTTATTTAATAAGAAAATAATTGTATGTGTTGGATGTATGATTGTGAGTTGTTTGTGTATTGTTATTGTGATGTCCTATGATGAGTTTATCCCCTTTGTGTTTGTCATGTTGGAGGTATCTCCCCTTATCCTTTAATTAGTATAACTCTTTATAATTTTTCATTTCAAAGTATCCTTAAATTAATTAATCATTATTGGTGTAACTACATTGTATATATGATCAAATTTTGAGCCACTCATGGAAAGAATTTATATAGGCTTGCCTGTTATTCAATCCATTTGACTATAACATCTGTCAATAAAATTTGCTGAAATGAAAAAACTACCTAGCACAGAAGTTGAATGATGCAGGTAGATCTATCTAGATAATAGGCCAACAGTAAACAGCTATTAATTAACAAACCATACAATTAACAATAAGCTAGATTCTAGTCAAAACTGGTTGAAGATAGTGACTAACCTCAGTATTAAAAATTATAAAATCCAATCACAATAAATCTAATCGGTCACATCTTATCATAATTTTGCACAAAATAGCCCAAATCACCAGACTTCTATCGCATTCTATTCTAGATTTCAGGTCATCGCAAAATCCAGAATATTAACTCCTACTCCAGTCTTAACACCAAACAACACAAGGCGATATCAGATGTCATATCCAACGTGCGATTGTGGCTTCGACTTCACAATCAAACAGATCATCCAGTAGACTGTTACGATGACAGATCAACGCCATCACTGTCATTTCAATGGACCAATATATGGTGGAACATTTCACGTTAAAATAAACCATGCTGCACCAAAACGACCACGAGTGCTGTACTCTGACGAAAGTGAAGAAAGAAGAAGCTTTCTAGTCCAGAATCCCCGCCAATATAAACTTTGTACTATTTATAGCTACATGGACTAAGCGGCCTAATCAAGCATTTTCACGGTAGACCCTCCGCGGAAATAGTAAAACAGAAACAGTTCGATTTTGACAGTTTTTATTATTTGTTACATTATCAAATGTACATTTTTTTTTTATATATTCTTGTTTTGTGAAACGAAATAAATGTTTCATGGCGCTTAAAAATTAAGCTACGTGTTTTGAATATCAATGACTTTATCACAATCTTTTATATATTACTACGCGTGTACTGCGCACTCGTGAAAAATATCAAAATATTAGCCACACTCGTAAAATATATATGGTATTACTGAAGACACCATTAAATATCCTCTATATATTTTAAGACTAATTCTAAATGCCTCCGTGCAATGTCAAGCCACTCATGGAAAGAATTTATATAGGCTTGCCTGTTATTCAACCATGTTTTATGTTTTGGAGGCTGACATCATAACGGTATTAGCTAACCGTGTTTCAATTTTGGTAGGCTGACATCATAATGTTCTTGGCTGACCGTTTTTTATGTTTCGGAGGCTGACATCATAACGTTATTAGCTGACGGTGTTTTATGTTTGGGAGGCTGACATCATAACGTTATTAGCTGACGGTGTTTTATGTTTGGGAACATGGCATCATAGCGTTATTAGCTGACCGGGTTTTATGTTTGGGAGGCTGCCATCATAACGTTATTTGCTGACCATGTTTTATGTTTTGGAGGCTGACATCATAACGTTATTAGCTGACCGTATTTTATGTTTGGGAGGCTGACATCATAACGTTATTTGCTGACCATGTTTTATGTTTTGGAGGCTGACATCATAACGATATTGGCTGACCTTTTTTTTTATGTATGGGAGGCTGACATCCTTAAGTTTTTAGCTGACTGTGTTTTATGTTTCGGAGGCTGACATCATAACGATATTGGCTGACCGTGTTTTATGTTTGGGAGGCTGACATCATAACGGTATTGACTGACCGTTTTTTTTTTATGTTTCGAAGGCTGACATCCTAACGTTATTAGCTGACCGTGTTTTATATTTGGGAGGCTGANGGAGGCTGACATCATAACGTTATTAGCTGACCATGTTATATGTTTGGGAGGCTGACATCATAACGTTATTAGCTGACCATGTTATATGTTTGGGAGGCTGACATCATAACGTTATTAGCTGACAGTGTTTTATGTTTGGGAACATGACATCATAACGTTATTAGCTGACCGTGTTTTATGTTTGGGAACCTGACATCAAAATGTTATATTCTGACTGTGTTTTATGTTTCGGAGGCTGACATCCTAACGTTATTAGCTGACCGTGTTTTATGTTTGGGAGGCTGACATCCTAACGATATTGGCTGACCTTTTTTTATGTATGGGAGGCTGACATCCTTAAGTTATTAGCTGACTGTGTTTTATGTTTCGGAGGCTGACATCATAACGGTATTGGCTGACCATTTTTTTTATGTTTCGGAGGCTGACATCCTAACGTTATTAGCTGACCGTGTTTTATGTTTGATAGGCTGACATCATAACGGTATTGACTGACCGTTTTTTTTTTATATGTTTCGGAGGCTGACATCCTAACGTTATTAGCTGACCGTGTTTTATGTTTGATAGGCTGACATCATAACGTTATTAGCTGACTGTGTTTTATGTTTGGGAGGCTGACATCATAACGTTATTAGCTGACTGTGTTTTATGTTTGGGTGGCTGACATCATAACGTTATTGGCTGACCGTGTTTTATGTTTGATAGGCTGACATCATAACGTTATTAGCTGACCATGTTATATGTTTGGGTGGCTGACATCATAACGTTATTAGCTGACCGTGTTTTATGTTTGGGAGGCTGACATCATAAAGTTATTAGCTGACCGTGTTTTATGTTTCGGAGGCTGACATCATAACGTTATTAGCTGACTGTGTTTTACGTTTGGGAAACTGACATCATAATGTTATATTCTGGCCGTTTTTTTATGTTTCGACGTCATCAGACCTTCTGTGGATTTGCTCAAAGGTGCAGGCAGTTTTGCCACATTCAAACATATCACTTATTTGCAAGTTCTGTAAGTGTTTACATAAAACATTTTGTATATGTATGTTACACAAGTCGTACTGATACGAACAGCTCCAAGTGTGTGCGCGAAACAATGTTTAACATTGAAATAACAAATATAAACTTCCTAATCGGTGCCAATTC